AGAAAGCACAATTAGTAGATCTCCCCAATCACTGTAAGCCATGTGCATCCTCCCATGATAATAGAACAGAAATCAAGTAAACTGATCCTACAAAAGGACTAACACCTAAAAAGAGAAATCTGTCCAATTCACAATATTTCACCTTAATAATAACCACATGGTACTTAAAGCTAATATTCCTCTACTTAAATTTGATAACAAGTATTCCATTTTTGAGGAAATAAAGTTTGGAGATAAGTTTGAATAGGTAGTGAGGGAAACTTGAAATATAAGTGTACAATGTTTCGACAAGCTTATGTCATCATCAGATACAAGTAGTTTACACAGACACAGGAATGTGTATATACAGTATGGAACAAAGAGGTCACATAACTAGAGATTGATTAACAGCTTAGTAAAGGTATCTTGGTACCCCAGAGTGTTGGTTTAGAGTAGGAGTGTTTTGTTTAATTAAGATAGCTTCCTTTTTGTTTTTTTTCAGTTGCAGTGGTGGTAAACATGGGAAGGTTTTATTATGTTTGGTGAATCTGGTTTCCAATTTTCTTCGAGTTTTTCTGATGTAGAATTCTGGACAGTTATTACACATTATTTTATAAATGATGTTGGTATTGCGTGATTCTATGTAATTTTTATTTAGTAATGACTTTAGTTTAGGGCCATGTTTTTTGAGTGAATTTGAAGTCAACAGAAATGTTATGTTTAACGGCAAGTTTTCTACAAATGTGAACTATTTTTTAAATGATTACAGGGATGAATGTTGTTTGGTGTATTAGTATCAATTTTGAGTTGAGTTTTAAGGTTTTTGTGCTGGTGGAACTTCTTGAATGAGTAGTGGAAGAAACTTTATTACAAATGTATAACATTTCAACAAGATTATTATTATGTTCCATTTTTAAAGATGTCTTTAATGTGAGTCTTAATGGCTAGCTTTAATGTTGTGTCTCTTCACTGAGGTTCCCACCAAGGAAGCTTGTAATATTACACTTGACCTCTACCACAATGACCCCAATCCTTTAATTAATAACCCCATTACACTTTTTGTTTCCCTCTTAGAATTCACAACAACAAAAAACAACTTCATTTTCAGTAAAAAAACTTTCTTCTGATAGATGATTTAAGTATGGGCAACCCTGTTTCACCTGTTCTTGCCAACATATTTTTCACTAAGATTGAAACACAAGCTTTACAATCTGCATTTTATTCTCACGTACACTAGTACAGATATGTCACTGATACTTTTGTTGGTTTCACTTCTATCAAACACATACACACTTTCCTTGAACGCATAAACTCCGTTCATCCGAACATTAAATTCACCATTGAATGCAAAAATAACAAGCAGTTATCATCTCTTAACCTTGATGTTATTAGATCTGACATGCAGAGATGCAGTATCATCCTATACCTTTTAAACCAGGATTAAAGATCTTGTGCTGTTAGTTATACAGGAACAAAATCAAGGTTTGAAGAAAGAATTCTGTTAGTTTTTCAGTTCTGAGCCTATATATATGCAAATGGTTGGTCATGTAGTTGTGAAGCCAGGAATTGAACAGCAGTTTTGTAAAGCGGAAACCAAGGTTTGAAGGAGTATGATGGTTAGTCCTACAGGCCTGAAACTAGAGTTTAAAGCAGAGTTTGTCAACCTATTTGTGCTCAAGACACTCCTATACGTAATCTACAACTTCCACAGCACCCTTAACACTTTGCGAACCAGTTGATAGTGGCATGTTATTAGATCTGACACAGGTCAAAACCAAAAATCATCATCATCCCCTGGAATTCTGCCCATGAAAAAAAAAAATCAATATGCTAAAAAACCTTATAAACACAACTTTAAGCCTCAACTGACTATGTATATGAAGAAATCAATTTTATAAAGCAATCCTTCATTGATACCAACTTTTCTAAAAAAAAAAAATTAAACAACCAAACTTTAATTCTCTACATAATCTGACTCTTATTTATGAATAAAAATGTAAATACATAAACAACCTAAAATAAATTAACCTTCCAATAAGTATGAACGAAGACAAAACTTACTAATAGCTTAAAGCTCTCTTAATACATCTACAATGAGCTGTTTCATCTAGATGATTGGAAATTAAAAGTTTAGCTCTGATAGAGTGACCTCTACAATATGAACTGAACTAAGCAATAGTAAATAAATACTTCAGAAGCGATTTTTTTTCTTGGAAACTCAAAGAATAAGGCAGAATTTTAACTAAATAAGGAATTAGATAATATATATATATATATAAAACACAGTAACATTAGAGCCATACATGTTTTATTTAGGCTTAAACATATAACAGTTTCTTGCCAAAGTGGTGGAGGAACTTTTTTTAAGTGTATATATACAGAGTATTAGCCATGTATTAATTACTTTTAATTAGATGACTTAACAGCAATTCAATAACCCAAAAGAAAATTAACTAACAATAAAAACTTTTTAAAAATCCAAGAATAAAATATTTCATTTTGGTTGATTTGACGATTTTATAGCATATTTCAATGAATAAAATAATCTAATGGATGGCACATATTTTTGTAGTTTATTTAAGTATCCCTGGAATAATGTACCTTAATTCACTGTGTAAATTTCATGGTTTTTTTTAATCAAGAGTATTTTCCAGAATTACCAAGAGCACTTACTTTAAGTTAGCTAGCATGACTAAGCCTAAATATAAAGTGCATGTTTTGAAACTTACAGAAGACTCACCTTAATACAGTATTTTCCAGAATAACGAAGAGTAGTTACTTCAAGTTAGCTAGCATGACTAAGCCTAAATATAAAGTACATGTTTTGAAACTTACAGAAGACTTACCTTAGCATAGTGGAGAGATAATTACATTTTTCTGTTATACTGTATACAAAGTAAGTTTTAAAGTATGTGTTTCTTACAAGATGTATACTGAGTAAAAAACAGCATTATCACATTACCATCTAACATACTTTTGTTATAAATACTTATAATTAGGCCCCCTGGTGGCTAAGCAGTAAGTCTAAGGGCTTATAATGTTAAAAATCAGGTTTTGATACCCACAGTGAGCAGAGCACAGACAGACCATTGTGTAACTTTGTACTTAACAACAAACAAACTAAACTTATAATTAGACATTAAGTGCTGGGATTTTGCTTTACTAAATGTATTTTACATATTTTCAGTTTTTCTAGCTACATACGAAATACTAAAGAGAAAGGAGGAGGAAATGTATTTTATATATTGAAGTGGTTGGTAGGAAGAGCTTTGATCTGTTCTACTTCGTGTACTTACTTCAGTTCTGTTTTGTTTTGAAATTATAGATGCATACATAGTAAATAGATTACAAAATTTATAAAATAGTTGAATTGATGTAGTGTCTTTGGAACTGAAAACATTTAATTACAATTCTTAATACTGAGATCAGGTTATAGATAATACATGTGAAAAGTTAAATCTTTAAAAGTTGTATATAGTTATATATTAAGTTAGAAGAGCATTAGAATATGTATATACTTATTGATATTATGAATAAACTTGACTCTTAATGAGAAGATTTGTTGATGATCTTGCTAGAGAACAAAAGTATTTAGTCATCATTAAAACTAAAATATGTACAGTAATTATAGAAGAGAATGGAAGTGTTTTTGTTTTTTTTAATAATACTTTGTTTTCGTTTTTCATCTGATTTGCTGGTTATAAATTTATAAGTAATATGCTTTGATTTTCATAGCTGTATCAAACTCATATTTAACTTGTATTGTTATTTATGTGAAATAAAATTGCATTGTTTTGGGTAACTGTTCATCCTTTTGCTAAACAAAATGTTTTTATAATATCTCTTGTGAAATTGATATTTTAAGAATGAACATTTTCTGCACATTATTTTTATCGTACTACACTGTCTATTACGAGCATTTACTTCTACACTAGAAGAGTTACATAATATAAGGTCAAACGGAAAATAGAATTTGTGCTTTTTTTATTATTATTATTCCTCAATACTGAACTTTTGTGAACTGAAAGTGTCACTATTTCTTTATCGGTTCCATTTTGGTATTTGATTAATATGATACCACCAGCAGTGATGACAATTAGCACATGTCTGTAGTTTCCAATTTGTGGTTAACTTAGAGAGAGAGAGATTTTTAGTATAGCATCATTCCCATCATATGGATTCTTTTTACTTTGACTTGTTTCATAAAGACACTTACACACGCTTTTCTCTTTAAATTGAAAGTGGGAGTTATGAAGTTAAGAGCTGATGAACTTTATGAACTATGGAACCAAAATATTAGCTCAGGTATTCCAATGAAGAATTAATATTTCTCTTTAAACAATATTTAATTCACATAAGAAAAAAAAAGTGAACACACTTGAAATAACTTATTTTTGGGCTATCTTGGGCAGTCTATCTTCAGATGTGTTGTAAGTGTTGTTTGTTTGTTTTTTGTGTGTGTTTGAAATTATTTTTCTCTCTCTTCCATGTTTTACTTCAACCAACCATCATTCTATTCATGATGTCATAATTATAGATTATGAAGATTAGAATTGATTTGTGTTATTAAAATGAACACAAATTTAATAGTAAAGTGTAGTTGAAAAAGCTTTATGTTAAGGGAGACTCCTTATAATTCATTGTAATGATTAAGTGGTTCTTGAGTTTCTAGGTAACAGTAATTGATTACATAGTGACATGTCCTGGTTGGTAGTAATAAATACATGACATCTTTGTTGCTTCAAATAATTACAGTTGTTTTAATTTTGATCTTACAGAAAAGAAGTTCCAGTGTATGATTTGTGAAACCAAGTTTACTTCATCTTCTACTTTAAACAGACACCAAAGGTTTAAACACTGGGAAAGAAGAATATGGACATGTGTTTTGTGTGGGAAGACTTACACCCACCCAGAAAGTTTATCACAACATCGACGGATGTACCACAAGATTTTTTCCAGACATGTAGAAAGTTAATACAAAAAAAAAGTCACCTGTTAGCTGCATGTAATATCTAAATTTTGCTTTTTAATTGAAAAAGTTATAAATTAAGGAACAATTAAACTAAAAAGATTATTGAAACATCCTATTCTTTATATTACCAAATTTTGTATCATTTAAACTAAAAGTATTTCTAAATATTTTGACTGCCTCAAGGCACACCCAAAAACACCCTGACTTAAATTTCAAAGCAAGTTTTCATTAGAGAAATGTAGTTGTATTTTTCACATTATTGATGTTAGCTACATTGAAACATCGGAGGGCTTACAACACAAAAATTCAGGTTTCAATACCTGCTGTGTTAAGACCACAGATAGCCTATTGTGTAGCTTTGTCCTTAAAACAAAAAATGCATGTAAATAATAAAGCTTTTATTTCTTAAATTTTAAATAGTATCTTAGCTAACCAGTTTAATTGAAAAAAAAGTACAATGATGGTAATAAATTACTCACTAGTGTCATACAGTACTTTAAATCACATAGAACAATACAACAAATAGCTTCATTTTCAAGTTTATTGTTATCCAGTTGAAATTGAAGAATAATAATTGTCATTAAATGTCCGACATCACAGCATGTTTTGTATTTTAATGAAAAAACAGTTTGGTTATCATTATAGGATTAATATTGTAGTAAGACCTACAAAGAAATAAGAATTTGGGGGTAAGGTATAATATCTCGTGTTTATAGTTTTGGAATGGTCTCTTAATTCATGTAAGATGTTCATATGATGGTCAATGAGATTATCATACACATAAACTTTTTTTAACAGCTACTTTATAAAATACGTATTTAATATAAAGTTCGATGATATGTTATTATTGTATAATATTCTTAAGAATTATTTTTTCATGGGCTGCTCTTTGTTTGCTTCAGCTTCTTACCGTGCATTTGGTTTTCATTTTACAGTTAAAAGGTTCCAGTGTTTGTTATGTGAAACGAGGTTCACATCATCTTATGCTTTAAACAGACACCAAAAGTTTAAACACTGGGAACGAAGAACGTGGACTTGTGATTTGTGTGGAAGGGTGTACACCCACCCAGAAAGTTTGTCTCAACATCGCCGGATGTTCCACAAGATTTTTTCACGAAATGTTGAAAGTTAGCGATTAAAGGAGAAAGAAGTAGAAGCTGCCACAAGCTGATGTATGTTCTGTCAGTATGTATTGTTTAGATAAGAAAACAAAATGAAGCATTTGCAAGGCGTATAACAAGAATAATTGTACGTATCTTGAAACTTTCTTAAGTAGTCGAAGATTGTAAATATTTTAGCATATTTTTCTTTTTGTACTTCTATGTTTGTTGAATTTATTTCATTGTGCATTTTGAAGTTCTATGACTTGAGTTATTATAAACTAAAGTTTAAAACTATGTCCGAAAATATAGTTAATGCGTTGAACCAGCTTTTTCTATTGCATTTTGTTAGTCTTTTTTTTTCTTGAAATGAGCTTCTTTTAGCGACCCACTAAACTCGGATTTCATGATATTCTTATTGTTAGTCAATCAACTTCTTCAAATAAATTTATTCTATAGTATTTTCAAAAGTTTGTGGATAATATTGCTTTAATGTTTATTACTTCTCATGTTTTTATTCTCTTTTACATTATAAATATGTATATTTAAAATGATTTTAACTTTGTTCTTCGACTTGTACACCTGAAGAATGATGCTTGTGTCATGAAAATTGTTTGAATAAAGGTTATTACAGAATTTTTGTAGATCATAACTACCTATCATTGTTGGAAAATGTTGGAGCAAACAAAAAAAAAACTAAATCAAATTAACATAGTTGCTAAGAATAGTGTATGTACGTCAACTGAAAAAAGTGGGGAGGGGCATGGTACCCACTTTATCCTGTGTGTTAGATGCCGATGTTTTAAATCATGCGATGTATTAGTAACTATTTTATTTGGAATTACACACACACATGTACTATATATGTCACATTAGGGAGAGTTAATAATTTACATTACTGAATTTCTGTATTTGACCAAAATATGTCTTGGATCTTGTATATATATATATATATATTCTGATTATTAATATTCAAGAGGTTGTATGCATTTGTATCCATGTTAGTGTTACTCAGATAGTTACATGTAACTATTCAGATATACTATCTAAATACTGATTCCTAAATGCAATGGCAGAGTGTCTCACCAGATAACCAGTACTGAATTTATAATAAAAGGTAAATAATTCTTTAAAGACATTAGTTGCCTTTAATATTTGATATGTTTTCATTATCAGTATATTTTAATATACAATGTTATTTCTGTCTGCTAACTTTTAAACATACACTGAGAAAATGAAGAAATATATATAAAAACATTGTATTGTCAAATTATTTACTTGGTGTTTTGTTCATAAATATTCAATATTACTTTTTGCATCCTGCTTTAGGTATCTGTACCTTAATATAACTTTCACTGTTATGTATTCTGAAATAATTCTTTATGGTAAGCAAAAATAAACTAGTTGCTTTTATTAATGGTTCCATGATCTATTTAAAATAAATATTGAAAATAAATTATTTATATACAGGTTTTTCACTGGGATAATTAAATTTGAGGCATGATAATTTTATCCTTTAAACTTAACTTAGAGGCCTATATTTTTAAGCAAAGGCAAGTGATCTGAGAGGAATAGAACAGTTAATTTCAGTGGGGTAAAACTATCAAAAAACTGTTCGGGAAAGTAATTTAACTGGTCCTTCTTTTTTGTAATAATTTTATACAGTTTTATTACTAAGAAAGCTTTCCTTTGCACTTGCTTCGGTTGCAAGACAACTTCACAATCAAAAATGATCACGGTGAAAGTAATTCATTTAGGCTGAATTTAATACATACCACATTTGGAGTTGTTTAACAAACTAAACACATTGTTTATGTTACTTTAAATTTTAAATGGCTCGAGGCCCATTGCTAGCTCTGCCAGAAACCCATCTGCCCTGTCAGTCCACCACTTGTATCTACACTTTTAAATAAAACGTTTTTAAAATACCTAGGATATCTTACACATTTTGTAGCTTTATGTACGTACGGTTATCTAACTCGTGAAGTTAAAAAGCTTAATAAGACAATGAGAATAAATAATTTTAAACTCAGTGACCCCTTTTAAGTAGCATGATAAGACTACACAATTAATCTGGATTTTATAACTTGCAAGTTGATCAGATAATTTCAGTTTATTAGTCCAGTCCAATTTGAAACATTGGGGTTAAATACAGCAACTAGCTTATATTCATCATTGTTCAGATAGCAGTTATAATACATAGTAGAATGCTTTTCAAAATTTAACAGCTAGCCACTCCTTGTTGACAAACATTCTTATTAAGGGCATGTAACGTTGGAAGAATATATCTAAGCTCTTTTTATCCCCATGAAGAACATCCTTTTATTTTCCAGTTAATTACCCAATTTTACATTATTATTTTAAGAAAATGTGTGAAGACCAAGCTTTGAACTTTGGGAATTTATTTTTGATTCACTCTTAAGAGTGCTAACAGTAAGTTTTAAAATAGAATTCCAGTTAATGTAATTTTATTCTTTTAATCTGTTCAGCAGCTTGGGTACTAGAACTCTGCTCCACAGTGCCTGACGTCTTGCATTTTTATGTTTAGTAAGTACGTGTTCAATGTCTGCTGTTGCCCTCAGTATTTAATAAATGTGAGCAATTATGTTGATTATCAGGAAGAATGGCTTTTTTTATTCATTTCAAGAGGTAGTAATGCTTAACAAATAATTCTGTTTTCTTCTTCGTGGGTTATGGATTTTTATGTCTGTGAAGACTGCTTTAATAATTTGTGTAAATGCTTTATCAGTTACTTTTTTCACAGTTTTTGCTTCCAGCTGAAAAAAAAGAGTAAAAATACCTTGGACTTTCTGACTTATTTTCATCAGATGTATGGGAATAGATAAATCATTGGAATTGTATAGTTAACAATATCATGCGCCAGTATATTTTGACAATCCAATGAGTGGTCATTTCAAGAAGGCCCTATCTGCAATGACCAAATATCCACAATGGTATACACACATTAAAATTGTCATTGCATGCACAAAAGTTAATTATTATTTGCTCCTTCTGTTTCATAAGTCTGTGCTATGTTGTGATAAATAACCGAGAATTCTAGTGTCAATGGTTTTGTATATTCATCAAATGAGTTTTCTTTAGTAGAAAATACTGGATTTAATAGAACCTTATCACCCTTGAAGTTTTAACCCATTCACCTTGGCTATGACGTATATTTTCCAGTGCTCCCCTCACACTTCGACTGGGACAACTGTTTCACATTGTCGATGCTGTTTACGCCTTCCTCTACTGGGTCCAGGTTCATCATCTTGACTATCGTCACTAGATGGAGAGCTAGCATCCTCTTGTCTTCATCATCACACATTTGAACACCACTTGACTCACTTTCACTATCTTCTAAGCTATCTGAGTCAAGCATATTTACATAGTAATTAGAGTTACTGCTCATCACTCTGGCGATGTGGGTGTACGGTCGGTACGCAGTCGTCTTACATTCCTCTTGGACATCTTGTTGGTTACTGAAGGGCAGAGTGGAAAACATTGAGGGAAGCCATATATCAACATTAGGTGGGATGCCAGTAAATACTTTCCAACTCATCTTACTCCCATACGTCACTCGTGGCAATTTTGAATGACAATGGGAAACATTTGTCCCAGTTGCGGTGTGAAGGGGTTGGAGAAATATACGTCCCAGCTGCAGTGAAAGGGTTAAATGAGTTGTTTTATTGAAATCAAAATTTAAACTTCCTCGGCTGCATACTGGTACCCTCTTTATTCATATTGTATATCATCCACTTATTAATGTGTCTAGTGAGCTCTTGTGCTTGAAAGTTTAGGTTTATTTATTGAATTTCGTGCAAAGCCGCATGAGGACAGATATATTGAGGGTTTCCTGCACTAGCCATCCTTAATTTCAAAGCTACAGACTAGAAGGAAGGCCGCTAGTCAACACTATTCACTGCCAACTCTTGGGGTACGCCTTCAGACTGAACAATGAGATTTTATCACTATCCTTATAACTCATCAACTGCCTGCAAGTGTAGAGCAAACAGTTTTAACTTGGAGACAGTAAGAGGGTGTAAACCAAAAAATTCAGATCCACAGTCCAGCATAAAAACTTAGAAGGATTATCAGATACCCCCCTATCAACATGATTAACTGTAAATGTTAAAAGCACGTTCAGAAAAACGAACATTTCATTCAGTTTTATTACGCAAACAAGACATGTAGAAGGAGAAATGTGGACATTAAGAAGTAAGTAATTGTTAACTATCCGAATTTTATTAAAAAATTTATAGTTTACAGACATGGATTACCAGTAGTTAGTAGCCACAAACTATAAAGACGTTCAGAAGTGAGTGGACTGCAGCATATATATATATTTGAGCAGGGAAGAACCTAAGAAATGATATAAACAGAGATCTGGTCATACATTTGTCATCAGTGGATCTTTACAAGAATTACTTGTTGGACAGCTACACACTCCGAACCAAATGATACAGAAGTAAAAGGATAAGAAGCACACACACACACACACACACATGACATACTATTTCAATGTCAGCAGCTAATAAGTTCTTAAGCATAGTTATCAGAAAGAACTAAGTCACGTCAAATGAGCAAAAAATTGAAGTTTCTTATGCATCAAATAAAAAAGAACTACCTAACACCTATGAATTCGTATACATCTTTCGGCATCAAAAGATACAAATAGTTGGTGACAGATTTAAAAAAACTAAAAATAAAAAAGGTCAAGTTAAATGACAATGAATGATATGAACACACAAGCTAAAGGTTGAATCAGGATTGTAAAAAATGAATGGGTCACATATAATATTCCTCCGACGAATAGTGATAAAAAGCCAATAAAAACTGTATACAAGGGTCACTCACTCACTCTGATTGGCAGTTAGTTTGTTTTGTGAAGTGTCA